TTTTTCTTTTTGCTTATGTGGTGCTGAGGAATCGAACCCAGGGCCTCATGCATGCAAGGCAAGCGCTCTACCACTGAGCCACCTTCCCAGCCCGGCTCATGTATTTTTTATCCATGTCTTCAGCAGTGCAGCATTGCTTTTATTAGTATATTTGATTACATAGAAATTATTGTTATTATTATTATTATTTTGTTGGTTGTGGGGCTTAAACTCTGGGCCTGGACGCTGTCCTTCAGCTCTTCAGCTCAAGGTTAGCACTCTACCACTTGAGCCACAGTATCACTTCCAGTTTTCTGGTGGTTTAAGAGTCTCATGGACTTTCCTGCCCAGCCTGGCTTTGAACTGTGATCCTTAGATCTCAGCTTCCTTAGTAGCTAGGATTACAGGCATGAGCCACAGATGCCTGGCAGATATAAATTATTTTTATTTATTTATTTTTTTTGTCGGTTGTGGGGCCTGAACTCTGGGCCTGGGCGCTGTCCCCCAGCTCTTCAGCTGTAGACCAGGGCTCTACCACTTGAGCCTCAGCCCCACTTCTGGCTTTTTCTGCTTATGTGGTGCTGAGGAATCGAACCGAGGGCCTCATGCATGCAAGGCAAGCACTCTACCACTGAGCCACTTTCCCAGCCCCGCAGATGTAAATTATTTTGAGCAGTTTTTAAAAATTGTACTTTAAAATCGATTTAGTTACAGAATAAATACTTAGCTGCCATTTTTAAGATTCTGTATTACATTCCCAGCACTGTTGTTTCACATGTTTACGTGTAATCTGCAAAGATCTCTGTGGGCAAATAAAAAATCTGAGGTACAGAAAGCTGTGTGACTTGGTCAAGATCATGCAGCTTATTCTCTTAACCATTTTTTTTTTTGGGTACAGGTCCTGGGTCTTGAATTCAGAGCCTGGGCACTGTCCCTGAGCTGCTTTTGCTCAAGGTTAGTGCTCTACCATTTGAGCCACAGCTCTACTTTCAATAAGAGTGTCACAGACTTTCACCTTTAGCACATTTGATGGAGTCACTTTCCTTTTGTTACCTTTTTTTGGCCAGTAGCCGGGTTTGAACCTCAGAGCTTGCTACCTCAGGGCATGCTTATCTTTTAAACCATATTTTAAACCTTAGAGGTGTGAGACACTTGCCTGACTTTATTATCTGTAAAAGCCATGGAATGGTTTAGTAGAAGTAGCTAAATGTTTAATCAGATCCATTGTGATTTTTCTTAAGCCTATATTGGGAAATACTGGTTTTTGTTATATGCCAACATTTTAAAGGTGTCTTATTTCCTAGAATGTATTTAGTAGTATTTTAAATTTTTTTGTAAAAGTTAGGACAAAAAATTAATTCCTTGAAAATAGATTAAGTAGCTAACAGCCAGGTGCTGGTGGCTTATGTCTGTAATCATAGCTACTCAGGAGACTGAGAGCTTAAGAACAAGGTTCAAAGCCAACTTGGGCAACAAAGTTGGTGGACTTTTATCTCCAGTTAACTACCAAAAAATCTGGAAGTAAAGCTATAGCTTAAAGTGGTAGATCACTAACCTTGAGCAAAAGATATAACAGGGACAGTGCCCAGGCCCTGAGTTCAAGTTTCATAGCTGACCAAACACCCTGCACAACAAAACAAAAAACAAATTAGGGAAGGGGTGACATTGTCCAAATAGAAATTTACTCATTTTCTGACTTATATTTCTGTACTTCCTCTGTACATTGCCTCTATAATAATAACAAAATTAAAAGAAAAAGGAAAACCAAAATTCCAAAAAACCTAGTTAATAAATGAACAGAATTGTGTTATCAAATTCTAGCTCTACTATAGACATATCAGTGTGTTAAATTGTTTTCTGTGATAAGGTCATATCTATCTTTGAAACTCAGGAAATCAGGTATAGTATATTCTATGGTTAAGGGGAGTGATGTAGTTTTCACCTAGTAGTTAGGTCTGTAGTTTATTCATCTCATAATAATTGAATTATGTAAGCATTTTATTGAATGTTATGGTTGTAATATTTGTTCCTAAAGATCTGTGAGGAAATAAATGCTTATACCCTTCCCTAATTTTTTCTCTCTAGGGAACAACTCCAAGTTTCCTTTGGACAATACACCAATTCGAAATCGGGGTGGTGGAGATGAAGATTTTCAATTCAGACCATTTTTTGTGGGTTCTCCCACAGCACCTGAACCCAGTAACAGCTTTTTTAGTTTTGCATCTCACAGTCATGAGTCAGAGCAGCAGCAAATCTCTAGCAGGGCCTTCAAAGTGAAAAGAATTTAACTTGCTTTATACAGTGTTTCTCTGCTTTCTGTAATTTCATTATAATCTTTATTTTAAATAGAAGTAACCCACTTCCTTATGCTATTAAGTCTGTGAGGTTGTATTTCAGATTCAAGAAACTCATTGTTAGTGGGATGGATGGCTGTAGTATCTAATTTCCTTGTCTTTAACACATGAGCAGCATTCCATTAGTCTGTTTTATTTACTAGTTGAATTCAATTTTCATCACTGGTAAAAAGGTCACAACATTGTATGTCCTAGTAAATCACTGTTTCAGCTTGGCAGGTTTTGGCCAATCTGTGTGTTAATGCATATGTGTATTAGCACCACTGTTCTGTCTACATGTCTTTGGCTGATTCTGGTATTTATTCTCATATGTATATGTGTGTTCATTGATACATTGCTGTGTTTGCCAGTACATTTATGTGAAGATTTTGGCCTTGTAAAATGATGGCTGGTTGATTGGATTACTGTTTAGTTGTGGGCATTTTATATGTTTATGTATTTGCATTTATATTAACTTGTTTGGTGGTAGATTCATGCCAGTGAATGACAGAATGTTAAAAATAATTTACGTTGGTAGTTCTGAAGTTTTTGTCATTGCTTTAAAATAAAAGTTGCAAATTTTTTTTATCACTAGTGGTCTTGGTCTCTTATGAATTTATTTAGGAATGCATTATTGTAGAAACTTCTGTTGACAAGAGATTTAGTTTTATTACTACAGTGTAAAATTTCTTAAATTAGCTTTTCTGTACTCCATAGTTAAAAGGAAAAATCCATCCTTATTGCACAGCTTAAATGAGATTTTACAGATGATAGTACAAAGAATTCTTTCCTGTGTATTCTTATTTGAGGGTCTGGCACTCTTGCTTAGTGTTTTCACTTAAGACTGCTCTCTACCACTTGAGTCACATCTTCAGATCAGCTGGTTAATTGGAGATACTGTTTTGGAGACTTTTCTGCTCTGCCTGTCTTTGAACCTTGGTCCTCAAATTTAAGCCTTCTGGCTGGGCACCAGTAGCTCATGCTTGTAATCCTAGCTACTCAAGAGTCTGAGATCTGAGGATCGTGGTTCAAAGCCAGCTTGTGCAGGAATGCCTGTGAGACTCTTATCTCCAATTAACCACCAGAAAACTGGAAGTGGCTCTGTGGCTCTCTTCAGCCTTGAGCTGAAGAGCTCAGGGACAGTGCCCCTGTCCAGAGTTCAAGCCCCACAACTGACAATAAATAAAAATAAATAAATAAATAAAAGCCTTCTGAGTACTAGGATTACTGTTGTGAGCCACAGGCCCCTGTTCTGTTTTCAGTTTTGCTGAGTAGTTTTGAGGAAGTGGTTTTTGTACATTTTTGATTACTGCCTTGATCATTTTGCTTTTTTAGGCTCACAGGTTAAAATACATGTACACAATGATTAAATCTTAAAGAGAAATGGTTAGTATTACAATGGTACTTCGTACATTTAAATACTGTATGAGATTATAATGTATATTATATATGATATATATATATATATGGTACAAAAAGGGTGAAATTCTACTCACCTAGTCACCCAGTTCCATTCTTTGAAAACAGTTACTATTTCCAGTGTTTGTGTCACTTTCCAGTCTGATTTTTTTTTTTTTTTCCTGTCGTGAGGCCTGAACTCTGGGCCTGGGTGCTGTCCCTCAGCTCTTCAGCTCAGGGTGAGCACTCTACCACTTGAGCCACAGGACCATTTCCAGCTTTTTTCTGCTTATGTGGTGCTGAGGAATCGAACCCAAGGCCTCATGCATGCAAGGCAAGCAGTGTACCACTGAGCCACCTTCTCAGCCCCTGATTTTTAAAAATTAAAATGTTTTTGTTTTAATTGTGTGTCAGTACTGGGGCTTGAACTCAGAATATACTAATCAATTATATTATCATCACCCCAAGCATACTATATAAAGATAGTGCATTCAAAGTGATAAAATATATTCATATAGAAATTCTGCACAGACAAAATCATCTATAGACCCTTCAAAATGTTAAACATCACAGGCAAACACTCATCAAGCATATACGTGTAATCACAATATGAAGACACTTGACTTCGAGAATATAAAGTTATGAAATCAATACTCCAAGCTGTATAACGCCCGCTTAACAAGCCAGACCCTCAGCTGAAACCTCATTCTACCCATCCACTCTGCTCCCCAGCTCCCTGCAGAGATGTCTGAGCTGTGTAGCTACAGCTTTCAGGTGTTGCAGTTAAGCCTCCGCGGCCTTAGATGTCGCTGCGGCTCTGTGGTGGCCTCGGGTCTGAGTCTCTGTGGTTTTAAAGTTGGGGGCGGAGAAGCCCTGTTGGGGGAATGATGGCTGATGAGGAAGAAGCTAAGCACCTTTTGCAGAAATTGCAGGTGAGGCCACAAGTTAGATTCCATATGCACTTTGTGTCTCCGGAGGGAGCAGGGGGTCAAGCTTAGGCAGTACCTGCGAATTCCGTGGCGCACCCCGGCGCGGCCCGTGTTGGTGCGGTTACTATAACAACTCCGGGGGAGCAGCCGCTGCCGCTTCCCGGTGGGCTAGGGCGCGGCCAGCGGGTGGGGGCCTGGTGTTGCTCTTGGCAGTGCTGCGCTCAGTTTTAGCCTTGTGCCGAAAAGGATTTGTTGCTCCAAACTCTATTCCTGTGTATTCTCATGAAGTTTTCCCCCACCCCCTCCCCGCAACTCCAACCTGGATTTCTCCAAAACAAAGATCCTACATACCTGTGTATGAATGGCAGATCTGCTGTAATTATTATCACGTTTTTATCCCGTCAGCGGCCGTTTCCTTAATATCTTTCTGCGTTGAGATGAGCAACAATAATGGTTGCTTCCCTTACACGTTAGTGGTTTGGGGTTTTTTGAGTACCACAGTTTGGGGACCCATGGAGAGGGGTGCAGACACCACCTAACACACTCCATGGTGCCCCTATTTGTGACCATTGCACCTGGTAGGGAGGAGTTGCCTACTCATTATCTTTCTTTTAATGACCCAAGATTTTCCTTTGATGTCAGAAAATTAACATTTGTGATCTGAGACATCTTGGAATTTAAACATTGGAATTGTGATCTGCTTATAACTTAAGCACTTGCAACACAGTTTAAACTGAGATTTTCTTTGTTCTTTGAAAAGATAAAAAGAATGGCACTTTTAGAGTGTGGTCTTATTTTGGGTTGGCTTGGGTTAACGTCATTTTACCATCTAGTGTGACTGACTCAAATTCTTAGGTACACATATGCATAAAAGTCTGAAGAGGTATTTGTTAAGCGGGTCATCCTTGAAGCTGTTTGAAGTGATTATTAATTTTAATTTTTTGTGTGTGGGTACTGGTCCTTGAACTCAAGGCCTCTTGCTCTCACTTGGCATTTTCCGCTCACAGTTGTCGCTTGACCATTTGATCCATGCCTCTAGCCCCTGATTATGATTTTTTGCTTCCTATTTTTACATGTATCTCTTTGAATTTTAACCACCTGTATATTGATATTGTTATGAGAGAGAATTGTTCAGCAAAAAAAAAATCCTAAAAAAACCCGACCCAACAGTAAGACCAAGCAATTTTTTGCCTGTTTGCTTTAACAACTAAAACAAGCCATTATACTCTCTTCAAGTTCTAATTTTCAGTCATAGTGATTGGAAGACAAAAGGAAATTGTGTTCAATTTTTGCTGAGAACAGTTTTTTTTTTTTTTTTTTTTGGGTCCGGTTGTGGGGCCTGAACTCTGGGCCTGGGCGCTGTCCCTCAGCTCTTCAGCTCAAGGCTGTGCTCTACCACTTGAGCCACAGCGCCACTTCTGGCTTTTTTCTTTTTGCTTATGTGGTGCTGAGGAATCGAACCCAGGGCCTCAGGCATGCAAGGCAAGCACTCTACCCCTGAGTCAACTTCCCAGCCCAGTTTTTTTTTTTTTAAATGGTAGATGCCTGTGATGTGGAAGAGAATACTGTAGGTATCTTGAAAATAGGTGGGAAAATGGAGCAATGAAATTGAAATACAGACGTGGAAAAGGATTGGATAGTGATGATGCTGCTTTTCCTGAAAATGGCAGTAAATTTTCATTTCATTGTTACACATATTTTAAGGTAGAAGCCAATTATAAAAGGCTGCTTCTCAAAAATGTGTTTCACAGACCATTTCTTTTCTTTTCTTTTTTTTTTGGTTGGTCGTGGGGCTTGAACTTTGGGCTTGGGCACTGTCCTTGTGCTCTTCAGCTCAAGGCAAGCGCTCGCTCTACTGCTTGAGCCACAGCACCACTTCCAGACCATTTGTATTAAAGACATCTGGTGCTTTTCTCAAAAATGTGTTTCACAGACCATTTATATTAAAGACATGTGGGTGCTTTTTTAAAAACTACAAAACTTTTGAGTTTTGCTAAACCACTAAAACCAGCACCTCTATAGTCTGTGTCCTAGACGTAACATACACATGACAATTTGAAAAGCACTCTGCAACAGGTGCTGGTCTGTTTTCTTTATTTAGGGTAGGATTTTAAATTAGACAGATGTATTTTCTAGAGTCAGGGGTAACATACTAATAAGAATATTTACTAAGACTCAACCATGGCCAGGTGCCAGTGATTCACACTTGTAATTCTAGCTATTCTGGAAGCTGAGATCTGAGGATTATAGTTGAAGACAGCCTAGGCAGAAAAGTCTGTGAGACATTTATCTCCAATTATGCAGCAAAAAGCCAGAAATAAAGATATGGCTCAATGGTAGCACACCAGCCTTGAACAAAAAATCCTAATTAAGAGTAGGGGGGGAGGGAGGGCTGGGAAGGTGGCTCAGTGGTGGTAGAGCGCTTGCCTTGCATGCATGAGGCTGTGGGTTCCATTCCTCAGCACCACATAAGCAAAAAAGAAAAAACTGGAAGTGGCGCTGTGGCTCAAGTGGTAGAGCACAGCCTTGAGCTGAAGAGCTGAGGGACAGCGCCCAGGCCCAGAGTTCAGGCCCCATGACCGCACCAAAGAAACAAAAAACAAAAAGAGTACAAGGGTCTGGCTTACTTCACTTTCCAGATCTTTCCATTTCCTTACAAATGGGTGGTGTCATTCTTCCTGATGGAAGCATAGAATTCCATTGTGTATATATACCACTTTTCTTTTTTTTTTTTAAGTTGGAATCACTGTTTTCATTTTTTATTATTAGGAAAAATTAATTTTACAAAGGGATTTCATTGTTATAATTATGTATGTGAACAGGGTGCACTATGATCAAGTTAAGAACATATTATTCTTTCCTAAAAAAGTGAGAGAAGGGATGGGTTAAGAGAGATGGGTGACAACGTTGTCAGTTACTTTGTACTCATATACTGTTTTGTAGGATGAGACTTCTTTGTACAACTTCTTAAAGATAATAAAAAAAATAAAAAGAAAGACAATCCCCTCCTCCCCCCAAAACCCCAAATATAGTATTCTTTCCTAACTCCTTTTCTCCTAATCCTTTCATTTATGAAATTTTAGTGGATTTGTTACATTACTATTATTATTATTTTTTGGGTCCGGTCGTGGGGCCTGAACTCTGGGCCTGGGCGCTGTCCCTCAGCTCTTCAGCTCAAGGCTAGCGCTCTACCACTTGAGCCACAGCGCCACTTCTGGCTTTTTTTCTTTTTGCTTATGTGGTGCTGGGGAATCGAACCCAGAGCCTCTGGCATGCAAGGCAAGCGCTCCTGAGCCACCTTCCCAGCCCCTGTTACATTATTTTCTTTTTAAAAACATATATCTTTATTGTAAAAGTGGTAAACTAGGGGGTTTATAGTTATATAAGTAAGGTAATGAGTACATATCTTTTTAAATGCTGTTATCCCCTCCCTCATTCTCTCCCACTTACTCTTCACTACTCCCCTCCCTGCAAGTTGTAAAGTTCATTCCCAACAGTGTCTAGTGAGTATTATTGTTGCATTAGTTCATCTTTTGTCCTGCTGTTTCTGTGATTACCTTTCCCTTTCATGGATCAGATAAACTTATATACAAGACAAAGGGTACAGAAAACTAAAACAAAAAATATAAATAACTGCATACATGACATAATAAGAACATCTTGTTTCCCATACTTGGAGTTGATTTTGATATTCTTCATTATATATGGTCCCATGCACTTAGCAATTGGGCTATTGTGATTCCCTTTTAAGAATATCATAGACATATTCTAGTTATTACAAATGAGGGAAAGCATGTAAACTACTTTTCTTTGGACCTGACTTACTTTGCTTAGTATATATTTTTCTAGGTCTTTCCATTTCTTTATGAATGGGGCAATGTCATTTTTCCTAGTGGAAGTATAGAACTCCATTGTGTATATATGCCACATCTTCTTTTTTTTGGTCGGTCAAGGGGCTTGAACTCTGGGTCTGGGCGCTCAGGTCTTCAGCTCAAGGCAAGCGCTCTACCACTTGAGCTACAGCGCCACTTCCGGTTTCCTAGTGGTTTATTGGAGATAGGAGTCTCAGGGTTTCTCTTGCCCGGGTGACCCGTCCAGCAGGTTCAGTTATTCGTTAGGCTCGAGGAGGCGCCTCCTAAAAACCAATGGGGGCGAGAGAGAAAAGAGACCAAGCGCATAAAGGAAGACAAAGTCAGTCTGAG